ATGGATAAAGAAGATGTGGTCCATATATACAATGGAATATTACTCAGCCATCAGAAAGGATGAATACCCAGCTTTTACATCAACATGGATGGGACTGGAAGAGATTATGCTAAGTGAAATAAGTCAAGCAGAGAACGTCAATTATCATATGGTTTCACTTATTTGTGGAACATAAGGAATCTCATGGAGGACATTAGGAGAAGGAAGGGAAAAATGAAGGGGGGGAAATCAGAGGGAGAGATGAACCATGAGAGACTATGGATTCTGAGAAACAGTCTGAGGGTTTTAGAGGGGAGGGGGGCGGGGGGATGGGTTAGCCTGGTGACGGGTATTAAGGAGGGCACGTACTGCATGGAGCACTGGTGTTATATGAAAACAATGAATCATGGATCACTACATCAAAAACTAATGATCTACTGTATGGTGACTAACAATAAAATAAAATTTAAAAAAAAGAAATAAATAGTGAGATGAAATTTAGGTCTGATTAAATAACACAGAGCACAACACATTATAGTAGAAATCTGAAAAATATGAGTGACAGGTTAACCGACAGGGAGGACAGAGTGAAGCAAAAAGAGTCAATACACATCTAACCTGAGCTCCAGGAGGATGACCAGGGAGAGAGGAAATACACAAAGAGAAATAACCAGCAAATTTTCATAATTAAAGACATGAGATTTCAGATGGAAGGTATGAACAGAGACTGTTCCTGGATAAATAAAAACAAATCCACACTAGAAACATCGTAACAATAAAAACAACAGGGTTTACCTCCTTTATCTGTTGCTGCCTGTTTCCCTGCTTCTGTCCACTGCTAGAGCTCTCACCCCCCAGTCTCCTCTCTCTAGTCAGGCACTAACCATCATAGAGTTCTATGAATGGGTTCCTTCATGATGACACTGGGATCTGAGATTATTAATGGGTGCCTTCTGGCCAGCAAGCCAGTTAGAGAACTGCTTAATATGAAGTTGGAATGGCTTTAGAAATTGCCTGCCCTAGGTGGGTGGGTGGCTCAGTTGGTTAAGCATTTGCCTTTGGTTCAGGTCATGATCTCGGGGTCCTGGGATCAACCCCAGCATCGGGTTTCCTGCTCAGCAGGAAGTCTGCTTCTCCCGCTCCCTCTGCCCCTCCTGTGCCCGACCCCACTTGTGCTCTCGTTCTCTCTCTCAAATGAATAAATAAAATCTTAAAAAAAAAGAAATCACCTGCCCCAATCTCTTATGAAAGAAAGAACTGAGGCTTGGATAAAATCACATGGAGAATGAGTGACACAGACTAACAGGCTGAGAATGAAAGCTTGCATCTCCTCCCTCTTGTCATGGACACAGCCACCTGCCTCCCTAGAGTCTCCATGGCCCCATTCCCTTGCTAATGTGATGAGATCTTACTAGGGCATCTCTGTTCTGTTTATGCTTTTCTGTGTTCTTTCTTAAACCCTCTTAGGGCATGACCTTACAATTTAAAAATCCTTGCCTTTCCTCTAAAAGCCATAATTTTTTTTTAATTATTTAAAGGGACAGACTAATGATTCAATTATGGTCTTATTAGTAAATGGTAACATGATTAGCAGAGCAAATAATGAAATTTGTTTGAAACTAATATTGATGCAATCATATATTTTGGTAAAGTTGGAAAGGCTACTACTGTACAACATGTGGGGGAATGCATTCTAAATATGGATCGAAGAAAGCCTCCAAAATCAGACTTTAATATCTACTAACACACTTTCTCTTTTCTAGAGTGAATTTCCTTGCCAAGGTCATATCCAACATGTCAAAAAGCTCTTCAAGGTCATGGATAGAAGTAACGCCTCAGAAGAAAAAGGAGAAATGCAGTGCTCCTGGCAAAGTGTGATTAGACTTTCCTGAAATTTCAGCTACTTTACACATTGAAAGAAACTTTCAGAAAACAGCCTTTGTTTTGCACTTGCTCAATGTTAGTAATTTCATTGCTCTTGAAAATAATCTCTCAAAAGCCCAGGTGGGTAAACTGAACAGAAAGCAATTCATCTACCCACGAATAAGAAAGGAAAATGTGCACTCTTGTGCTAGTGTGAAGTGGCTAAGTCTCGTGGCTATGCAGGTCCCGCTCCTGTAGTATTTTCACACTTATATTGCTTAAACATTGGATATTAGGGATTGCAAAAACTTTTAAATTAAAAGTACTTTAAACATACATGGCTCCATTTCTGCCAATTGAATGAAGTGAATTTCTGTCAACTGAATTTGGCTCAATATTCTGTCTCATTTAATGACTTTATTCTTAAATATCTGGCTTCAAAGATTATATTTATCATAATGCTCTTCCCCACCTAAGTTCTAGACCAAATAAGAAATTAGCCATATAGAAAGAATATCTACTTTATTACTGTATTGGAATAAACAACATGACCTGCCCAAAAAAAAGGGTCCCAATATTGTCCCCTGGGTCTAGGCCTTGAGTCCTTATCCCAAGGGAAGGATGCAGCAGAAATGCATACTTGTGTTTTCCAAATGACATGTGCAAAAATGGTCATAGAGGTAATACACATAATTGCCTCCAAAAGGAAACTATCCAAATGACTATAAACAATAAAAGAGAGAAATAAAAATTGTGGTATATTCATGCAATGGAGTACTAAACAGTAATGTGAGTGGGCAGACTATAATTACATGCAGCCACATAGATAAATCCCACAGACATAATGTTCAGGGGAGAAAAGGTCATGTATAAAAGAGTACATACTGTATGATTCTATGTGTATAAGGTTTAAACACAAGCTAAACTAGTAGATAGTGTTAGAAGCAGGATAGCGGTTACCCTTGGGGGGGTAGGTAGTTACTGGAAGGGAACCCAGAGGGTCTACGGGCTTGCAGTAACATTCTTTTCCTTGATCTGGATGCTGGTGTCGTACATATATGACTTGGGTTCACTTGCTTCTATGTTATAATTGAATAAAAGTGTTTTTGAAAAAGTTACTTTTGACCCCCTTGGTCTATCTAGTTATTAAGCCATCCCTCACTTCTCCATAGTCAATTTCCTTTGAAAGATCATCTTCCAAAAACCTTGCAGTCATCTTTGGCTCTTCTATATTTTTCACACACCATTATCCAGTCTATCATTAAAACATAAAAAAATACTGAGTCTGATTACTTCTCACCATCTCACGAGTACTCTGGCTCATTGTCTCCCATTGGCATTATTGCAATGGCTGACCAGCTGGGCACCCACGCCACTCGGTTTGTTCTCTGTATAGCAGACAGCAGATTTTTTTTCCCCATCTAAAATCAGACCATGTTATTCCTCTGCTCAAACTCATTCCATTCCATTCCAAATAAAAGCTAGAGTCCCTAAATGTCCTTACAGGATCTGAACTCTCGTATCTGCTCTGACCTTCTGACTACTCCCCCTTGCTCCCTCTACTCCAGTCCATCACATGGGCCTTTTGCTGTCACTTGACACATTTCTTTAGAAATTTTACCCTGGCAGGCTCTCTATCTTCTATTGCTTTATTTCTCACTTCTTTCAAGTCTTTCTTCAAATCTCTTAATTGCAGTAAAATTTCCCCCACCGACCTACATAAAATTATGGTCCTCTCTCCCAGTCACTTGCTTATTTTTTCCCCAAAGCACTTACTACCATCAGACATACTATGTATTTTCTTTGTTTGTTAATTGTATGTCTACCCCCACTAGTCTGTAAGCTAGGACACTCACTTACTACTCTCCACTGAGGTTTTCAGCTCCTGTTTATGTGTTTTCAAACCTGTGTGTGTGTGTGTGTGTGTGTGTGTCTGTGTATATTAGTATCTTACACTGGGGATGGAGGGCCTTGGAGATTCCTCCTCATTCTGTAAGCCAAGCAATGCAATAAAATATTTAATCCAGGACCTATTTCTTATTTGTTTCTCTGTTAATAGGAAGGCTCTTCAGAATATCTGAAGAATTATATTTAGAATTATCTGGAATAATACTTCAAGTAATACTATCTGGAATATATTCAGAATTATCCGGAATAATATTCCAAACCTCTACTAGGTACAGTAAGGACAATGCATATTTCATTTGCAACATCCCTACACTCCTCCAGCCTGGTTGTTTTTCATAAATGGTATGTCCATCCACTCAATTTCTAAAGTCAGAAATTTGGGAGTCATTTTTGACTCCGCCTTTTGTCTCACTACCATATTCCCTTTGGGAACCCAATTAGGCAACAACCACTAGCAAGAAAGGTGAATAAATTCATGGCAAGAAAAGGAGTGAACAGTTTCACCCAAGTCCAAGCAGACACTGCAGATATTGAACATACATACCAGAATTCTGTGTTCTCTCAATGTTTTAGAAAAAAACTGCAGGTTCCCCAAAAGGCAACTCAAAATTAGTGGCTGAGCCACACATACTCAAATCCTTATCACAAACTCTCCATCCTTCCTCCCATCTTAACGAACAGGGGGTGAAAGATTCTCCCTGTTGGCCTGATATAAGCAGAAAGCAAGAAACAGGGCATTCAACTGGCAAAACCCAGGGCCCTGAGTCATACAAGGAAATGAATTCTGTCAATAACCTGACTGTGCTTGGAAGTGGGTTTTCCCCACTTGAGCCTCTAAATGAAAATACAGGCTATCTGACACATTGATTTTAGCCATCCCTGTGAGACCCTGAACAGAGGGACCCAAATAGGCCATGCTTCAACTCCTGATCGATGAAAATCATAAGATAATAAATATATGTTGTTTTGAGCCACTAAATTTGTGGTAATTAATAGCAAACAAACAAACAAAAACTAATACACACTAGATTGTTGCATGGAAAATGAAAGGGGGTAGGCCACGCTCAGTTTTGGCTTCAACCCTTACCAGCAGTAACGTTGGACCTCAGTTTCCTCTTCTTTAAAATGGATGTGACAATATATGCAGAAGGAGGAGTTTAGTGAGGGAGTAAATACCTCATTTTATTTAAAGCAGCATTGGCACATGCTAAGTGTTACCTGTCAAATGCTAAGTGTGGTCTTCTGCAGGTGGAAAGCAAGAGGGAATGCCATTTCCACCCAAAGTATATCACCCAGCTTGTAGCTGTCCCACAGAGATCCTGTCATTTCACCTCTCCATGGAATAGCCTAGTTCCTGCCTTCTGGTCTGAGTCTGTGGACTGATATTAGAGGACCCATCTTTAAGAAGCTTGGAAGTCAGAAGCAGGGGCAAAGGGCTGAGGCTAACAACTATAACCTAGTTGAAATAATAAAATGAGATGCATTTTTGAAATAACCAAGACAGATGAAATTTTAAGTGTCTCCTGCTTAATATCACCTATTCTTTCCTAAAAATCAGGTATTCTGCATGAAGACAGTTCTTTCTCACCATTTTATTTTTATTTTTTTAACTCAATCATGAAGTAAATTTATTTATAAGAATTTACCACCATGAGAAAACATTTATGAAAATCTTAAACAGTACAAAGCTCTGAAGCTCCACTTAGGTGTAACAAACATGGCTATGAGGCTAAGCACTCTAGTCTTTTCCATAAAGTGAGTAAGATGTAACTCTGACAGAATATATTGATCCTTGAAGCAGCAATCCTCAGATTTCAATATGGCCCTGTATATTTTTAAGGCTAGAATGAGCAATAGAGTTTTTAAGAATATATTGAGTGACAGAGGGCAATTTCATCAAGTGATTGGAACAAATGTGCACAGGTAACAAAACACTTCACATAGGTAGAATATTTATGCCATTACCAACCCATCTGGTTCCCTGTTTCATTAAGACCACTCGATTCTCTGGAGGAAGATGAGGTGGCTTTCTCAGCTTGTTAGTGGTTTAGGTTCTACTAAAGCTTGTGGTAGAACTACCTACCCTCAGGTAAATGCTTCTGTCTAGAAGAGGATTCCAGTTCTGTCAGCAGAGGGAACTTGACATTAAAAATCTAGGTCAAGAATCTATAGGATGAGTCTCATTAGAAAACTGAATTGTACAGAGACTTAGGTAAAAACGATTTCAAAGAATTCATGAGCTTTAAGGTCAATAACATCTTTTCAGGGATGTAGTATGTGAAAAGAACCACCAACACTACATAGATAGTGAATAAAGAGCAGAAAAAAGTCTTTTGACTAAAGTGGGGAGGACAGTAGAAAAATATTTACAATAAAGAAAGGGTTCAGAATAAAATACTATTTACAGGATGTTAAAAATTAATCTTCAGCCATAATGAGGCCTCTTCGAGCTCCTAAAACCTTTGCTTTCTTCTCCTTTCGTCTTTGCTCATGTTGTTTCGTTGTTCCTCCCTAGTCTGGAGAGGAGGTTGTTTGTAAGTTTTCTTGTGGAAGCTAACTCTGTTTACATGCTCCTTCAGAGAATTATTTTCTTTAGATTGACCCCATGGTTTCAGCTTGCCTTTGTGTGGCTCATAGTTGAGGGGACGAGACAGACTTGCTTTGAGATCAAACACTGGCTTCTTACTGGAGACTGAAGTCTGTGTTGCCTGAGTTGTCAATTTTAATGGGGTAACAACAGAAGCAGAATTTCCATCTGTGGTCTTTAACTTGTATGTCCTGAGCACAGCCTGGCCTTTTGGGGTACTCCCAGGTATCGTCACATGTGGAGACTTTCTGGCTGGAGTCTTGATCAGTGAACGCTTATGCTCATTATCTTTGGTAGCAGCTGAAAACCTGACGTTCATTTTAGTTGCCCAGAGAGCGGATGGGTTGGCGGAGCCCTTCCCACACAAGGTGCTCTGGCCTGCAGCGGCCAGGGGCCGGCCCTGCGAGCGGCACTGGCTGGTGGGAGTACAAGCCACGGGGAGCCTTCCCCAGAGAGGAACTGGAGTCACCACCGCTCCCTTGGTGACCGGCTGCTTCTTCAGTTCATTAAATGAATTGTGTTCTTCAAAATGTTTCTTTTTTCTCTCAATATATTGATCAATGGACTCCATTTCCTTAAAACGAGCCTCATGAAGCTTCTTAAAGT